GAATGTACTTTTCAACATTAAAGTACTTTCTTTTACCGTATTTTCCACACTATAGGGCGCACTCAAAAGCCTCCAACCGCATTAAGAAACCACTGCGCGCCCCACAATCCAGAGCGCCCTATACACAAATTCACTCGGATGTCCCAGCACGACTTCAGTAAACTACAAATCCGCACCACCCGCAGCGCACGCAAACACACACGGAGCAGACAGCGACCACGCAGCTAAAAACACCCGCAGCCACACTCATCACTCCACGCCGACGAGAAAGAACCGAAAACGTGAGTGCAATGTGCCACTTCTAGACACAACTGAACAACTGAGACACTGCGAACACGCCGACAATCCAGCGGTCCCAGACAGCACCCTCCCTACACGCCACAATTGAACAAAGTCACTGTGAACGCGCCAAACAAAGTCCAACTGACCCATCTAACTGTTTCGTATAAAGTCCGATGCGGTTTATTTGTGAAAAAAGTTCGAAAATAGACCATTCTATGACAGTGCTTCTTATAATCCAGAGCGCCCTATAGTGCAGAAAATACGGTAAATTCCCATGCGGCTTTGTATCTGTGAAATCCCTCAGTGGTCCATGGGTGTGAACTAGTCTATCTGCTCTCATACTTGTTCTGATACTGACTTTTTTAGTATCAATACCCGCTCAAATGAGTATCTAGTTTTGATACTACTTTAAGTTTTGATTAGTATCTGATTTTCGACACTTTCCCTACTTTGGAGAACAGACAAGTTGCGGCTCTGTACTTTTGGCTTCTGCTGTCTGATCTACTCTCATTAGAAGTGGGAACAAGCTATGAACAGAGGAACGTCAAATTTCAAATCCAGCCTAGATTATTTTTGGTAAATTTGAGATAACAAGTATAGCTGGTGTCGAGCATTTTTGGAGCTTTGACAATTCCCATGTCAAAGTCGAAGCCCAAATCAGTGAAAATGAGGGTTAGGGGCTTCCTATTGATGCTTTGCAGTGACATCAAGCTGGGGGTGTCCCAAATGCATCTCTGTGGTGGAATGTTCAGCAGTTACCATGGAGACGCAATGCAAACAATAGCGAAAACTCTCAAAAAGTTTAATAATAATCTGAAAACTGAAGAAAATGCAAATGGATTAATGGATAGGAGTGTTCACGGTCTTGTTTAGGTGTTTCATTTTCAACGAAAAGGTGAAAATGACTAAGTGAGAAACTGCGTGACTGTAATTTTACGCTGAGTGAGTTTTTTCTGGTCAGACTGTGTTAAAATTAAACTCAAATGAAAGTCTAACAGAGTAGACAGAGTAGAGCCCACAGTTGGCATCACACCCCCAGAGAACGTTGATGTCATCTGTTGAAAAGTAGCCTAAAGTTCAGGTAAAATTTCTATAAAAGGCTCTAAAAATTGTAGGAATTGTAGTCATATTTTTTAGTTGTGGGTTTGGGGTAAAATTGGGCCAGATTTTTTCCCAGAACGCTTGATTGAAGTGAAAAATAAGTGGATAACAGTTTCCCTTTACAAAACCTTCACAGCACCATTTGGTCAGATGATGGACAAAAAATAAAAGCATGATGACAAATTCCGATCTTTTTTACATTTCTGCTACTCCAACCAGTATGGGTTCATTTTTGGAGACCTGCACCCACCCATTAACCCGTGATTATATCAAAGATAAATCCGCACCTGCCCGTGTCCGTGATAACTCGGGGTCAGCCAATTAGTCAGACAGCCCCATAGTCCAGGACTAAACCAGGACTGTACCTACGCTGTGTCATTAGCGGATTATCAATATATACACATCAGGTCTACACCAGGACTTAAATAGGTCTAAACCAAGACTAAACCAGGTCTAAACCAGGACTAGACCAGGACTGAACCCGGACTGAACCAGGACTGAACCAGGACTAAACCAGGACTAAACCAGGACTAAACCAGGACTGAACCTGAGTTGAACCAGGACTAAACCAGGACTAAACCCGAGCTGAACCAGGACTGAACCAGGACTGAACCAGGACTAAACCAGGACTAAACCCGAGCTGAACCAGGACTGAACCAGGACTAAACCAGGACTAAACCAGGACTGAACCAGGACTAAACCAGGACTAAACCCGAGCTGAACCAGGACTGAACCAGGACTGAACCAGGACTAAACCAGGACTAAACTCGAGCTGAACCAGGACTGAACCAGGACTAAACCAGGACTAAACCAGGACTGAACCAGGACTAAACCAGGACTGAACCTGAGTTGAACCAGGACTGAACCAGGACTAAACCAGGACTGAACCATGTCTAAGACAGGACTAAACCAGGACTGAACCAGGACTAAACCAGGACTGAACCAGGACTAAATCAGAATTAAATCAGGACTAAATCAGGTCTAAACCAGGAGTGCAGCCGGTGAGCCGATCGCCTCCGCTGATGGTTTTATGTAATAAATACAAGTCTCTCTGAGCCTGGTCCATCGTTCCAGTAAAACACAGAAAAATGGCACATGCATTAAGTATTTTTCTTCCATTTGTCGTTCATTTGATTCACCTGACCCACTTGTAAAATCCCACAATATTAAAACCCGTCTGTTTCAGCAACTATTTGCAGAGCAGAACTCTGACTCCAACTGCCCTCCATCTTAAATTTTAACAAAAAATCCAGACTGACCTAAATAAATTATTGGCAAAGCAGGTAAAATGTCCATGTAAACAATAAAAACAGTGTAACTACAGGAAGTTATACACAGACACAAAAAGAGCTCCTTCATTCACTCCAAAAATAAAACTCTGATCCTAAATAAATAATATACTAACTTTTTTCATGTAATTATTGTAAACAAAACCTGCAGATTTAGGTTCTTCTCTCAAACTGAAAACACTCTGTTCCACCTTGTGATGTCAAGTGGCAATACAGGAAGTGCTCCACTGTGTTTTTAAATTCCATACACCTTCACTAGAATCATTTGGATCATTTCAGCTCTGGAATCACCAATCTCTACTAAATGAAAAGTAAAATGTAGCTGTTAACTTAAAAAACTGCTGCTTCATGACATCACAAGGTGGAACAGAGCATTTTGAGCTTTGGAGATAAGGACAGACTAATCATAAAGAATTGCACAAAGAAAAACATTCCAGGTCTGTTTTTGATGAAGAAACAACATTCTAACATTGCTAACACAGATAAATAAATGAATAAATTAATGCATTCTAATCTCCTTGTAATGTCAGAATAAACGCCAACTCATTTGTGTTGCCCCAGTACAGATGTATTGTAAAAGCAAATAGAAGCATGAGACCAGTGTGTGCTGTTCTGATGTTGTGTCCTCGGGGAATACACTTCCCCACCTTGCCCGTGTGAATGAGAGAGATTCAGTTAACTCATATACTCATATAACCATAACCATATTTTTCATGTTTTTAAGACAGTAAATTAGACCCAGCACCTTTAACATCTTCATTAATTTTCATTCATATTCAGCTGAAACTGAAAAAAACTATAACACAACAAGGCAAATGTCTATGGGCTATTTATAAAGTTCAGAGGTGGGTAACAGGCCGACTTCTGAGTCCACATTAACTTCAACTTATAAATCAGATGTTACGTCCTGACAGTTACACTTAAGGCCTCCACACACTACAGGATTTTCAGTCCCAAACGATTTTTATATTTTTGTAACAAAAAGTGCATGCCACAGACATGAGGAGAATCTTGTAAGATTTTTAATCTCCAATCACAAAGATTGCAGCAGGATATGTCTGCGAATCACAGGATATAAAGTTGTGAGTGCGATCACGTCAGCTGTTTCCTGTCGACAAAAAAACTCGCTCTGAGACTCTAAAGTGTTCAAAAGATCAGAGCTCTGCACTTCTAGATGCAAATCAAAACTGTGTTATTATTATTTGTGAAATGTGGTGCAATACTTCAGATATATGATTTTTAAATCACAGACACACGTGAGGAACTACTCTTGCCTTTTTACTTTTAAAGAATGCTTCAAACTTGATTAACAGCTCTGTTTTGTTGTAGCCTGATTCATCAGCAGGTTTCACTTCGTGGAAACCGTCTGACCTCGCAGCTTTAGGATTCATTCGCTCAACAGTAGGCGGGTAAATTTTTTTTAACCAATCGCTGCTATTTGGTCGTGACGTATGTAATGCGCCGCTAACGGGGCTAAATGGTATATTAAGCTTTCCCCAAATTCCACAGGAAGAAAGTCTTTCCCCTTGATAAAATTCACCAAACATTCTCGATCTCGAGAATCGCTGCCAACACAGAATGTATGGCTTTGTCTACATCCATCTCGATCGTTTTACTGTTGTGCTGTGCTTCACAGCTCTTTGTTGATTGGCCGGTGCACGGTCTACAACTTCTGGGGATTTTACAAACCGTAGTGTATTCCGATTCCTGACCTAGTCGCTGGAGAGAAATAAAAATGAGTGGAGGCACTAGATGGCGCCAGCCTGGCTAATTTTGTTGACTGGGTGTCATTAATTGCAGAGAACAAACGGACAATATAGATGAGACGCTGCAGCTGTACGAGAGATGAGTAATAAACTCTTCTCATTATTTTAGCTATTTTTGAGTTTGTATCTTGCGGCTCTGTGTCTGTGACTCCGTCTGTCTCTGACGCTCTGTTTTATTGGCTGTTACGTTGCTGATGTTTGGTGGTTATGATCTGACAGAGCAGCTCAGAGTCACACAGACTCCACACACACGAGGAGAGCAGCGGCTTCAAAATCACACTCGAAGACAGAAAGTTGGGTCACGCCTCTCCGAACTCGGGGAGAAGCAAATCATATCCAAAATCAGGCAAATTCTCCTGTAGTGTAAGTATTTTCATGAACCGCTACTTATACTCGAGTAATATTATTCTGAAGTAACATTACTCTTACTTGAGCACAATGTTTGGCTTCTCTACCCACGTCTGACAATGTTACAACACATGAACTCAACCTATTGTGTAACCATTGTCTTTCTTGTTCATTCTTCATTGTTTCCTTCTGGAGTGGTGTCTGTAGTCTGCGGTCATAGGCAGTCTTTGCACAGCGCCACCTGGCCCCGGAGATAGTCCCTGCACGGGCAGAGGCGCAGGTGCTGTGGGCTGGAGCCTGAACAGCTGAACAGAAGAGGGTCCTGCTGGAGGTAACATTCTTTATGCTCCACTAAGAAAGCCGGCAGGAGGTGGTTCTTCTCTTTCTCAACGCCCACGCACTGGAAATTCAACCTGGAAATGGAAAAACAAAAAATAAAAATGCTATTGTACAGTATATACTAAAGATTTATTAATGCAAGAAATGTAATAAATATTAGTAATGTGATGGTTTAAAGGTGCACTGTGTAACGTCATCTGCTTGTCTCCATGGAAATGTTATTGCTTTGTCTAGAATGTTCCACAGTATAGATTAAACTAATTTATCACACGGCAGACAAGCAGGTTACAGCACTATGCTACATTACAGTTCAGATCTGTGGATAGTCGGCCTATTCACAGCAGGAATTAATGTATTTTTGAGCAACAGAAACACCTGTAATGAATAAATGCTCGATAAAAATGTTTAATGTCATACCATGGAACATACCAGGCAATTTGTGCAGTGCAATTTTAAGTTTTTGGGGAAAAAAACAAAAACAAAACAATTTCTTTAAGGTTAAAAAGGTGCAGAAATGTATTGTTTAGTTGAAATTTTGCTTAATATTAGGTTATAGGGATGTAACAATAACCAAAATATCGTGATATCGTACCGTCAAAAATCTCACAATAAAATCGTGGGCTGTCACAATATATCGAATTACAAGTTCCTCTGCTTGAATGCATGCTTTTATCGGTTTCATATGTTTTTATCCATGTGCAAACAGATATAGATATGTCATTTAAACAACACATGTACACCCAGTATTTTTCATTTTTATGCAAGTAAAACATAACTTAAGAAATACGAATTGCGTCATACAATATAATAATAATAGAATGATAACAAATATACCACTGCTAATATTAATAACAAATAAAACAAATAAAAATAAAATAAAATAGTAATAAAAGAATGCATAGTTTTATAGTAGCAAGAGCTTATAAACATTGGGAACTACATATCCCATGGTTCATTTCAGTGCAGACAAGATGAAGAAATATGTTTTTTACTTGAATTCTTAGGATTATGATGGTAATAACTCACACCAAAATCTTTTCAACATAATTTAAAAGCAAAAAAAAAAGTGTCCTATCTACAATTACATCAGCCTCTCCAAAATATCGCAATAAACATTGTACCGTGAGATGCGGATATCGTTACATCACTGTTATGTAATGTTATGTTACACTCCATACAACTTTACTAGAATCATTTGGATAATTCCAGCCCTGGAATTGCCAATCTCTGCTAAACAAAAGGGAAAATGTAGTTGTGAACTTGAAAACTACCACTACATGACATCACAAGGGGGAACAGAGCATTTTGAGCTTTGGAGATGTAGACAGCTCAATAATGACGGGCTACTCAACACACGTGAGTATGTTTTTGATGACTTATAAACAGCTTTATAACATGACTTAAAGCTCACAGCACACAGAGCCTATTTTGCTTGATACAGGACCTTTAAAAAACTTCGAAAATGTGTTTTATACCAAGTCACCAGAGCTAACAAAGCCAACACAAAGTCCAATTCCAAAGTCAAAGTCTAATAAGAATTCTCAAAAATATGCATGTGTTACTTTTCTGTGTTTAAGAGTCTAGACTGACACTTTGATTAGCCGCCACGTTCGGTTTGACAGGAACGGACCATGTGCTTGTTTGATTGGTTAATTCACCTGCCAATCACGGTCACTGGAAAATAGGGAGACGGGATATAGTTTCAGAGCCGCATGTCTTTGAAAAGTATTGCCAAAGTGTGTGGTTTTGGCTGGTCAGGCGAGGATAGGATTAAAGGATTTTGGTCATGTTCCACCTACACAGACACAAAATATAATAATTGCTTTATTGGAGAAGTATTATAAAAATCAGGGATGACTTATATTTTGATTTCTATGCAATCAAAATTAAAATACAAAAAAAGCTTATCTCTTTTTACAATATTTTAACAATACCTACAACATTTCAGGAGAATCTGAACCCGGAGGTTTAACATACCATCGTCATCCTCACCGTTGGATGAAGCACTCAGTTTTGTTACTTACGTACAAATGTTGTTTCCTCATCAAACACACTGTTCCACCTTGTGATGTCATGTGTTAATACCACCTAAAGTCCATACACCTTCACTAGTATCATTTGGATAAATCAGCCCCGGAATTGCCAATCTCTCCTGACGTAAAGCTTAAAAGTAGCTGTGAACTTGAAAACTACTGCTTCATGACATCACAAGGTGGAACAGAGCATTTTGAGCTTTGGAGATGTAGGCAGACTAATAACGCAGGATTGCATGTGTGAATGAAACAAAACACAACAATTACCGTATTTTTCGGACTATAAGGCACAACGGATTATAAAATGCAATATCAATAATGTTGAATTCTCTCGTCTATTTTCATACTTAAGGTGCACCGGATTATAAGGAGCACTAAGCGAAACAAACGGACGACACTTGAGACTGATCCCTTAGCCCAGGAATCCACGATTCATTGGCAGATCGTGGCATAATTCGCCCGGCGTTGCCTCTCTGTCTTGGTGAATGTGTATTATGAATGTGAATGTGTGCGTGGATGCAGCTTTACACACATTTGTTTACGTTTTACAGAAATGAATCTTAAAATCACATGGCTCATTTGCATAAACTATAAGCACTGAAAAAACTCAAACAAACAAAAAGCTCCTTGTGCTGCTGATGTGGTCAGTTACTGTCGGTCTAACTTACTCCGCGAGGCTCCTGACTGTGGTAGCCATAATGCTCTGACAGTCCATCAAGCGGTGCGGCTTCGTAGCTTATCAAAGTCGTGCTAAAACATTATGACAGATTTTTTTAGCACCGTGGACCACATAAAATTGGTTCGAGGTCAGTAAGCGCAACCAGAAAAATTTAAGGATTTTAAGTGCGCCTTTTAGTCCGAAAAATACGGTATGCTTTTGCTACAATACCAACACTAACATTTTTTGTAATATAGGTACTTTAAGTAAAATACAGATATCTAAAAATTGTACTTAACTACAGTACTTTACTACTTGTACTTCATTACCCTTCATTACCACCACTGCGCACCCTTCCCATGACCCTAAACACAAGCAGAATAACAAATATGTGCATGTCTTACGAGTGGAACGTCTCCTTTATGTTGATGTAGTGGTAGAGGGCCGGTTCACAGACGAGGCCGGCCTGCTGGCATGTCTTCACACAGGACTGGTTCAGGGGCGATGCCAGGACCCTGAGAGCTGAGAGAGGGGGCCAGGAGGAGGGTGTAGCGGAGCCAGCCAGCGCCCAAGACAGAGCGCTGGAGTTGGGCATCAGACGAAAGGGGCTGGGGGGGTCTCCGGGCCAAGAGCTGGGAGAGTCCAAGGGCTTTTGAGGTGAACAGAAGTCCTGCAAGTGGAGATATAAAATGGATTCTTGTGAGCTTTAAATCATGTTATAATGTTGTTACCTCCTCAAAAACACACCCAGAGTTGTGCTGTTTCATTCACACATGTTTGAGTAATCCTGGATTATTAGTCTGTATGTATCTCCAAAACTCAAAATACTATGATCTACCTTATGGTTCCAGGATTGAAATTTCTGTTTGAGAGATGAACTGAGCTTAAGAATGCATATGTGAATGAAAACAAAACACAACTCAAGGTCTGTTTGTGATGAGGAAACAACATTATAACATAGAACAGAAAATAGCGTAATATACTGTAGGCCCTTTAAGATGACACTAATTCTCAAAATGTTAAAAAATAAATAAATACAAAATTTGTTCTATCATCATATATTATCTTCTATTATGCTTCCTGCTGGCTTAATGGACCCGTGCTTTTGTTGTAAACACAATTTGACTGCAGAATGGGCCTGATGATAAACACAGGCCATTTGCAAATGGAGATGTTTTAGTGCTAAGAGAAGACGAATTTTGGGTGAACGAAACAAGCGTCAATAGAGCAAAACACAACTCCAGGTATGTTTTTGATGAGGGGACAACATCATTGCTTATTTTTGCAAAACAAATTGAAAATACAAAAATGTGTATCTCTGCATTTAGTAGTGAACTAAAAAGAATGTGTCCGATGATGGTTCATGGGGTTAAAAAATGTGTAGGAGAAATCCGGAGTTTTATCTGTGACGCAACAAAACTGGCCATATGCAAACAGTAGGGGTGTAACGGTACGTGTAATTTGTGCGTGTTTACATTCCGCCACTACATGTGCAGCTACACGGAAGACTCCGCTCTTTCATATTCATGAGGGATCTGTGATTGAGGTGACGGTGTTTCCTGCAGCGCTTTATATTTAGGGTGGTTGCCTTGACAACAATTACCTCCCCCCGCCTTGACTACGTCCCTCCGAACCACGTGAATCCTCACAAAACTACGATCGTCGTGCCCTGATCCTCACTCTCGCCTTTCGCCAGCACAGAATCTCCACATCACCCCCCACACCCACGACCTCTGTCCCAAGCGCAAGTGTATTTTCAACCGCTAGGGACATTGTAAATGCAGACAATGTGGACCAGTTGGCCAAAAATACAAAGATTGATTAAAACTTTATACTGGAACTGTTATTGCTGTGCTTTACTTTTTGAAAAGTTTTGTTTACTGTTTACAAGGAATCAGTTTTTTTTTTTTTTAATATATAATATTTCATACATTTGTTGCTTATTTGAGAATATTTTATTTAACTTATTAGTTTTACCAAGCAGCACTTTGCATTTATTTTATTTTCCTGTTTGTATAATGTTAAAACAAATTGTTGGTTTAATAAACACACAAACAAACAACAAGCAAATAGTTTAGCATTTTGTTCCCAAACTGTACCGAAAGTGAACCGAACCGTGACGTCAAAACCGAGATATGTACTGAACCGTGATTTTTGTGTACCGTTACACCCCTCACAAACAGAGCATTTTTGAGTGCTCGGAGAAGACGACTCTGGATGAATAAAGCAAAACACAACTCCAGGTATGTTCTTCATGAGGGGACAACATTATAAAAGTCAAAAAGCTAAAAAAAAGTCAGTTTTGCATGATACGTCTTTAAATGTTGCCAAAATGACAGAAAAAGGCACTAGGGCTCTAATAGTCAACATCATGTGAACTATAGCTTTTAATTGATTTATTTCTGCAATAAAACAGAAAATAGAACGTGCTGGTTCTCAAGGCAACCCCGGGCTAGCGTGCAATTTGGTGTGCTATAACTTTATGTACCCAACTTGTATATTGCAATAATAAATCTCTCACTGCCAGACAGAAAAATAATTGTTTTGTTACAGCAGCATTGTAACATCCGGGATAACTATGTATATTTGCTGCTTGTTTTCTGTGAATCCAAATAGAAAATAGAAAAATGTGTATCTGTTTACTTTGTAGTTTACTAAAGAGGGGACGCGGCAAAACTATTATGTATATAAAGACAGATTCGACTTTTACATATAAACAACAAATCTTCAGCAAACTCACTCACACACTCACTTCTCCTTTCTTCTTTTGTCTCATATAAAGCCTTATAATATCAATAAGATAAGATACGAGACCCTTCATTTGTTCCACAATGGAGAAATTACAGTGTTGCAGCGCTTAAGAACAGCAAGACAATAGAAATAGGCACTAAAAGTAGTTATTAGTTACTTCAATAATGACATGACACTATAGACCGATCAATGGACTATAAACCAGAAGTATGGAGAAAGAAAGCTTTCAGAAATATTTGTGTGCATAGAATAGAAATCTGTGCATATTTGGCTGAAGTTGAGCATAAAATAAATAATCAGAAAGTCTAGAATGAGTCCAGTTGTACATAAAATGTATTGTGTGTATTTTGTCCATCAGAATACAAACTGAAAAGTTAAGATATCAAGAATTATAAAGACAAAATTAAAATTTACAATTACACTTTCTTCAGTACGAACACAAATTCACAGACACGACTTTACTGTCAAAAATATGTCAAGACTTCACAAGTATTTATTGAGCAGAAGAAACATTGATCGAGATGCCGGATTTTTGCACTGTATATGGACTGAACTAAGACTGAACCAGGACTAAACCAGGACTGATCCTAGGACTGAACCAGGACTAAAGCAGGACTCATCTCAGGATGACTAAACCAGGACTAAACCAGGACTGAACCAGGACTAAAAGAGGACTAAACAAGGACTGAACCAGGAGGACTAAACCAGGACTGATCCTAGGACTGAACAAGGAGGACTGAACCAGGACTAAACCAGGACTGAACCAGGACTAAACCAGGACTGATCCCAGGACTGATCTCACGACTGAACCAGGAGGACGAAACTGGGACTGAATTCATATTCGTATTGAACAAAGCATAATCGTAAATTTCTCGTGATTCATGAATTTCGTGATTGTAATTCTTGACGTTGTAACTTTTCAATTCATTTTCTGATGGACAAAATACACAAAGTACATTTTATGTACGACCGGACTCATTCGAGAGTTTACGAATATTTATTTTATGCTCAACTCCAGCCAAATATGCATCAGTTTCTATCCTACGCACATGAATATTTCTGAAAGCTTTCTTACTCCATACTAAAGCCCTACATTCTGCTCATGTTTGTCAGAAAAGTAATTGTTATTTTGATCTAAGATAAACCAGCACCGTGACTGAAACACACACATTTCCATACATAACACAAGCCAAACCATTACCACAGCACTAAAGAAGAGCCAGCACCTCCTCATCCAACTCTGAATAATACAAATGTACTTATATCAGCCTATAATAAAATGAGACTTGTCTGGCTGAGGCAGACATTCAGCAGTCTCTGGATTAGATTCTCCCCTCCAGCAGGGCCTCGCATTGATACACTGCAGTTCTTATCCTCGTTCCCTGGGGGTGTGACGCTAACTGTAAGCACTACTCTATCTGAGACTCTGTTAGACTGTAATTTGAGCTTTACTTTAACACAGTCTGAGCATAAGAACTGAAATAACTGGAACTAAACAGACGAGATGATTTGTGCTGTTGTGCCTCTCAGACAAAATATTACAATCACAATCCAAGCAATAGCAATAATGTATTGATCACAGGATCCTGAAAATATGTTGTTTAAATCCATTTTGTATTTTTTCTTGAGTTTTCAGACAATCTTAAAACTAGTGTGTGCATATTTTGCATTTTTTTTCATGGTTTGGGTGGTCCTGGACTTATACTCGAGTGTGACTTCTATATTAAAATTTTCATACAGACAGTTGCGAGACGGTGCTCTAGGCTTGTGTGTCAGTATCTGCTGCTCCTATTACTCCTGTACCACTGTGACTTCATTCTACTGCGCATGTCTCCTACAGAATGAGCTTCTGTCCTGTCTGTATCATGTCAGTCGCACCATTACTTCTGTACCACTGAAATTGAAACATTTAAACAAACACAAAGACAACTGAATTCATCCTGTCAGGATTCAGAAAAGCCAGAATAATTCTAACTGGAACTGATGCTGACTCTGCTACACAGAAGCGGAAGCGGCGCTCTGTTTACCTCTCGAGGTCGCTGAGTTGCTCAGAGTGACACCAAGGATGAAGAATTCAATGGATTTAGTGATTTGGAGTGAGATGGAGACTTTGGTAAACTTGTTCTGTTCTGTTGTTTATGCTATAGTTATCTGAAGAACTGTTCATATGTGATGTTAACGGCCTTTTGTTCTCTGTTCTATTCTTGCCTTTCAAGATGAAATGTCAGTTCCTAGTCTCTAATTTCCCCCAAAAAGTACTTATATATGTTTTTTTCTTCTTCATTATGCATTTTTTGGCTGTTGCGACTTATACTCCGGAGCAACTTATAGTCTTATAGTCCCAAAAATATGGTAAGTACTGAACATTCTACCATAGAGACACATGTAGAGCACCCCCAGCGCAAAGTCACTGCAAAGTATCAGTAAGACACAAAACATTTCATCTGTTGTAGTCCCAGGTTAGTCAGATCTTTCTGGTCAGATCGTGTTAAAACAAAGATCAGATTAAAGGTCCTATATTATGAGAAATTGACTCCTGTGAGATTTAAGACATGTTAGAATGTTGTTAGCTCTTCAAAAACGGATATAGTTGTGTTTTATTTCATTCACACATAAGTAACACTTTATTATTAATCTGTCTACATCTCCAAAGCTCAAACTGCTCTGTTCCACCTTGAGATGACGTGTAGTGGTAGTATTCACGTTAACATCTCCTTTTACCTTTAGTTCAGAAGAGATCGACAGTTCCAGGACTGAAATGATCCAAATCTTTCTAGTTAAAAACACAGTAGAGCACTTCCTGTATTACCACATGACATCACAAGGTGGAACAGAGTGTTTTAAGTTTGAGAGAAGAGTTCACCCTAAACACGCAGAGATTGTGTCTTAAACGTGTGTGAATGAAACAAAACACAACTC